TCAGTTAAATGTTTTATCTGATTAACTATATAATCAAGTTACGGCAGCTACTGACATTATAGTTTTCACCAATTTATTTACATAGGACTCCACAAAATATACAGTTAACGGATTTAGCATAAGGATACTTTACTTAATGTTAGTTAAGAATTCTAAAAACGTGATTATCATCATCTGGCGACTAAAAAGCTTTTTGAAAAATAAGCAATAAAAAATAAAAAAGTACGGTTTGTATTTTTTATAGAATCAATGTTAAGTAATAATGAAGTTAAGTTAAACGTAAATACTTTTTAGTATAACCAGGTTATTGACTCGCAGGGCATTCATCAATACTGGTCTGCAAGAAGAAACGTGTGTCCACTTGAATTAAAAAAAAAGAGTTTTGATTGAAAGTTAGAACATTTACAAGATGGACGCTCCGGATTTTTTTATTTTCGATGAGACAATACTTAATAATTTAATTAATACGTATGATATTAAATCTTCACTCACTGTACAATTAAACTATATTCTAAACGTCGGGACGTTTCTGAGCAAAGGTGTATGAGTTTGGTATTACATAAACTATTTCATAGAAATTTGAACTTCTATTTTGTTCCTTTAAGAGTTGAATTTCGAAGAAAACCTTTTGTATTTTATTCTGAGAAATTTCAAACTCTCAGTGTTTATTGTAATAACAGTTTACATAATGTTCGCCTTGTTATGTATTGTATAATAACTTAAAAAAGAAACCGGTTAGTAAACTTATATAGGTAACAACCAGTACATGTCGTTTTTTTCTGAGATACATTCAAAGTATTAAGTTGCATTATAAACGTAATCATTGGCATTTAGCCATTTACAACTAGTCGTTCGTAATTATTATGTCTCTTTTTTTCCTTTCTTGCGCTGCAATCTGTCTTTACTTCCTTCATTAAGCCGTTTGAACGCAAGAACGTAACAAACGGACAGATATAAAATCGTTATCTTTACCAAAAAATCAACAAAGTTAAGTATTATCCTTTAAAATATTGAGTATTACTCATAATCTTAACCACAGACAGGTTAAGGTTCAGACGTGGATATAATGGAAGTTGTTTCAATTTGTTATGAAATATTGTCTATATTAAATTGTATCACTTTACATAGTACATATACCCGTTACCTGCTTTATATTTTTATACATGAATTAAAAGTTTGTAAAATATTAGGTATTTTGAATGACAGATTAGGTAAGTATACTTATATGATAAAAAGAAAATATATAGGTATTATTCAACATTTTAATATGTTTCTACATTGTTAAAAAGTATATATTTTGTATTCTTTTTGCGTATACACAGCAGAGCACACTTATTGAGATTAAATAACTATTTGTTTATACAATTCCTTAATTGTACCAATAAAACTTCTCTGTATTAACGATATGTAGCACAAGGAACAGTTTTAATGCAAAGAAATCCTTTCCGCAATATACATAAATTTAAAAATGTGCAGAATTTGTAATTTACCAAATGTACACATAGATAGGCAAGTATGATATTTTACATTTTTAGGTTGATTAATTTTATCAATTATCAAAGTATATTTTAAAAGTATATAATAATATGTTACTCTGCTTAGCACTAAATTAATATAAGCATAACAACGAATCTTTAGTGCTGTAAATTCTTGTTTCTATAAGGTAAACATAATAAATAATTCAGTATCACACATTCATCTTAACCTCAACAAAGACTTGAAAGGTCTTAAAGCAACCAGATACAGTCGATTGAATTCAAGTGAAATGGGAGTTTGCGATTACAGGTATTCCATAGACGCAACTTGCTCTTGAATAATAAATAGAGCGTCAACTAAACAGCAAGTTCGTGGGCGGCGAGCATGTATTCAACGCCTACGACAATTCCTTATTATCTCCCTTTAACGCAATTTTTAGTTCTTTATATCCATTTTTGTAATGTTCATGCCCACTCTAAAAGACTTTGCGTGTATTCGCAGTGCGCATTCTGCAAAGGTTCGTGTTAAATAGATTAGTGTCTACCTATATTACATACTACAATAAATATAGGTAGTGCTGAATAAATTTTACAATCTCAGAGTGTAGGTCTGCGAATTAGTATTAGTCATTAAACTATTCCTGTAATATATTAAGAAAGGATTCCAACGTTCTTCCGTTCACAATAAATGAATAAATTTGATGAAGTGAATGTATATATAATAAATTAAATATCAATTTTATCACAAATAAGGATAAATAATATATGTATAACGTATTATTCGACAGCTAAGAAACCAACGTTAAAAAGAAACTGCATTGAAATTGTGCTGGCACAGGTGTTGGTATTGAAACCGTAGACATAGACGGGCGTACATAGTAAAACTAACTTTTACTTTGGTATTAAATAAAGGCACACTTATCAGGTATTATATTATAGGTATTAAAATTATCTAAAAGCTACAAGCATTTATTATGTTTGTGTTAAATTATACTCAAGTTATTAAGGCTATTACTATCGTAAGGCAAAAAAAAATACCACAAGTAGGTATTATATGTATACTTCAAATAAATTTAGGCGGTCATTTTTCTTTCAAGGATCCTCATATATTGCTTATTACTGAATCTCCCAAAGGAAATCATACACTTATTGACGACATCTCAATACCATTCCGGGTTTGTTCTCAAAGAGGGATTCAATAGGTGCTTAAGTAACTGGAATATAATTTTGAGGGACATCTAAATCTGTCAAATGATTTGAGTTTACCTGTCATGTGATTAATTAACAATATTGTATGATTATGTAAATACGAGAATTGATTAAATCTTGAAATAGCTTTGCCACTGATATGCCATTTGAAGCTTATTAACGATATATTTATGTATTATATATCTCCGTAACTAGTAATTAGTATTATCTAAAAATATCTAGAGACCACTAGATTTCTAGATTTTACATAAATCTTTAGTTAAATCATTAAGTGTTTAGTAGTAATGAATAATTAATTAAATATTAATTATGAAATAGTAACTAGCAGTCATTAATATTTAATTCCAAGATTATAAACCATCTGCCCAACATGTACCACACAGTATTAATTTAACAAATACATATTTTTCTATAAACTGTATATATTGAAGGCGTCATAGGACATTGAGTTAAATTATGCCAAGATATACGTACCTATATAAAGTCTCAATATTAAGAATTCATTAAATATATTTTATGAATACTATTTTCTTGTAAATGTACACACGACCAATTGTATTTAACTGTTCTAAGTTTGAATTTAATAGTTGATTAAATCTAATATTTGGTATTGAATCTATGGCCTAATTTAGAGGTAAGTTTATTGACATTCAATATGTCTTGTAATAACTTAGTAGACGTGCTATATATGTAAATATACATGTAAGTATATAGATCAGAGTTACGACTTCTAATAAAGAGGGCCGTCAGCTTGTTTTCTATTCCAATTTCACAGAAAAAGGTGAAATGGGGATGAGGAAAAAATACAAGGTTTAGTTTTCCGCAGATTGAGATGCTTATAACATCTATTTAATACTTTTTCTAGTTATTTTTTTAAGAGTCTACGTAATATTAATTTCGTAATCTTGAAAATCCGATAAATTTAAATAGCTTTTAAAGTATTCTCAAGAACTTCGAAGTCAATCGGATTAATAAACTGCCGACGATTATAGAGCTCTGCACTGATTAGTATAAATGAGATCCACGGTTCAGTTCTCAGTAGGGGCAATTTAGATTACGATCATTATGAAATTAATGTAATTGTAAGTATACTGGAATTATACTCTTTTTATGTAATTGGAATGGCAAACGAACTGAAGGCCCGTATGATGGTAAGTTGTAACTATCCCCACCTCTCTGGCATTGCCATTCAGATGGATTAAGATGTCACGTCTCCTACTGTAATTTACCTTATATTGTAATACATACCTATCAATCTTTCAAACCGAAACAGAATAATGCAAGCTGTTTAGCGGCGGAAATAGGTGAGACTAAGATTTCACCCAGACGTCAGTTTACAGTATACCTTGATAAAAACTAACTCATTTTACTACAGAGTGTCGGTGTATTGGAAAATATAGTTTTGTTGGGTTTTAAAATTATTTTTAGTTTAATGCTGTTTTCTAATGTTTATTTTATTTATTCTTACAGACTGCCATCGAGAAATACCGCGCAATATTTGTGGTAATTCTGCATATGTATGTATGGAAGTCTGTATACATGCCAACAAATATAATGTAATTTAAATAGACTTGAGATTTTATGAGACTACTTAAGTAAAGTATTTTGTTTGTGTTGATTGTTGCGGAGTAATTATAATACATAATTTAGATCCGACAATTTGCATATATTCAACAACGAAATTGTTTGCATTTTGTAAGACGTTATTGTGGTAGAAATTTTACATAATATTTTATGAAGTAACCATTTAATGCTGTTTACTCCATAAACATAATAACGCTCTTTTATATAATAAATATGTTGGTTTATAATTGCAACTTATAATTCGAAAAGTCGTGAGATGGAATGTGAGTGAAATTGAAAACATCAATTTTAATTGTGAAGAGAGCTGATGGAAAACACTATTAAAAAAACAAAATGAAAATTTGTATTGATACTAATTTTCTATAACAAAAGATTCTTAAAATTTAAAATATTACGTTCACGGTACATAACAATGTTAAATCTTCATATCAATGCAAATTAAAATGTTCTTATATTGTTAACGGTCTGCCACTAATTACGTACGAATATCAACCTTATGTCTTATAAAATACGTAATTTTAAAATCAAAAAGCCTGTACTCATAGCGATACGTAATTATAAATATACACTGAATTACACAAGAAAGTGAAACCACCGGTTTACCAACAAACCCGGTCAATAACAACAGTATTGCATCGTATTTAGTGCACTGAAAAACATCCAAGTTCGCTTATGTAAGTTACACTTTGCATTACGTCTATAATTAGCATTAAATAGTAACAAAACACTTACCTTGACATTGCGTGTCTTTTATTATAAAAAGCAGGAACGCTGTGATTGTAACGAATCTCCAGCGGCGCCGGCACATTTTGTTTAATTAATTTTCACCGGATCATTGATACGATTGCTTTCTAGAAGATTTATAAAAGTTCATCGATCGCTCTCCGAGATGTGGTGAACGCCATGTTTGGCAATAGGGAAATTTGGCACAGACATCAATTAAGTTTACACCATGTTGGCAGCGCTGTTACATCTGAAACAAATAACATTATTGTTAAATGTGAGTTTTGAATAAATTCACTACTTATTAGTAGTAATAGTAAATTATTGTAAGATACACCAGAATTTATCAATAATAAAATTACCGCTGTTATATTTATTTGTTAATCATTTATAACAAAGGCGAATTCGAAGCTAATAACATATTTGTAATCTAAAATGCTATTAGAAATGTTGAACATAATAAAATGACAACTTATTAAATACAACAAACAATGTAATACATGTCTAAGTTTGATATTACATTAATATGTAGGGATAATAAAATCATAAATGAAATCAAGCACTCAAGAAAAATAATTTCCAATCTGTGAAATATTATCAGAAAATGAACTTAAATTTTAATATATACTATTATTGTACCCACTTCAAAGTTATATCGCTATAGCAAGACAAATGAACTGAGAGATTGTCAATCAGACCAGATTTTATAAAATTAATATCGACAATAAATACCGACGGTTTAATAGAAAAAATAAATCACAATTCTTATCCAACGCCCAGCTTCCATGAATGGAAAAAATTATCGAATAGACAATATTTATAATTTATTGATATTTTATGATTTTCTATTATGCTGATATAATTTGTGCTCATTGTAAAATAAACTGATTGCCCCATCCCAAATTGAACAGTCAGCTTCTGGTTCTGTAATTATGAGCGTACCATACCATAAACCCAATCAGTAAAATGAGCCTGCCAATCGGGGATATCGGGAATAGAAACAGATTTATATGTAGGTGGATAGGATATTGAAAACTTCTTTTTCCCTTATCCAATTATGTAGGATCGACAGAATACATTTACCCCAAGTTGGCGAAGCTTTTGGCAATGTCATAGAAGGTTTGTTATGGTCTTACTTAGTTTACATATAGTAATGTTTTTACGTATTAATCATTGGGAGAATGGCTCCTCGTTTTTTTACTTTTTGTAATATAATGAAATCGCAAAATCGTGACGAGAAAAAACTCTGTGCCCTTTAGTCTCTTCAGATTTCACGTAAAAACGTTGGAAGGAATTAAAATAAAATTTTCACACAATATGTCCAATATATGTAGGTTAATATTAGAAAAAGCTGAGAAATACCCAACAATTATTTGTCAATATTGTTCAATACGCTATCTGCTGTGTTAAATAATTTATTACATATAAGACGTTTTACTTTTATAACAATCAATAGATGGCGCCTACAAATGCATACGAGCACGAAGTCGCAAGTATAGCTGGTTTATGAATAAAATTCAATTTACATAATATAACAGCATATACATTGTTTGACTTAAGCTATAGCCTCTCTATCTATATAACTCTATCAATACATAAGATGTTATTATACAACACATTTAAATTGTGTCCAAGTATAAATTAAGAGAACTAACTCGACTATGGACTAATTTAATCCTCGCCTGCAAATCTGTGGACGCTTGGTAAAGTTTACTCTAGAACTGAGTCTATCATCAAAGTATTTATTTGAAAGCTTAATTAAATAGCTACAACTCGTTAACTTTGGGAGGGTAAATAGTTGGTCTGCTCGATATATCCGTGAATATGTATTTAGTCTCGTACTTAATCAATATGCCCAATATCGGGAATCCCAAATTGATGTTTAAACCGAGACGAGGTGTCAGGTGACGGGATAACTTCAGAAATTAGTTTCTGACAACTATTCAAGTTAGTAATAGCTATGTACTGTTAAAGATTATTGTATATCACGTTGCCTTAGGACAAGTTGTGGCACGTTCTGTAACTTTATGAGACAGGTTTGAAACTTGCTTCGGTCTATACATATCCGCACAGAAAGCCGACGTCAAATATTATTAAGGTCTGAAGTTAAATCTTTTGGTTATTTAATGGAGTGTGACAGATTATTGGACGCATTATTTGACATTTACTCAAAATAATCAAAACATAATATAAAAGACAATAATAACATAATTCGTTCCAGTAATCCTGAAGAAAATAGTAGACACAGATTCCTCTATTTTTGATATATTTGTATATGGGTCAATGAGCCACGAGTTATTTCTTGTGAAATGCACAATAACTAAAATCCTGAATATATTGAATTTTAAATATGTATATAGTTTATAATAATAAATAAGATATTGCCTCGTCTCTATCCCATTATTTTGAGACTGGCGCAGTACCTATGTCATAGTCTTCTAGAAATTAAAATATAATTGTCATTACAGCGTTTTTTATTTATTTAGTAATAATTATGGTCAAAATACCGAACTGCATAACTAAGCATACATAAGATAATTATACATAATATTTTTATAATTAGTGAAACGAAACGTGTCGTGACGTCACAGATACGTCAAGACCGCAAGTCGCGTCTCTTTCGTGAAAGCGGCACGTTCCGGCTCGCAGAACAATTTCTCGTAAACACGCTTCACATTGTGACCATGCCTTTACGTCCACGTGCCCTGACGCTGTTTGCTTTTTAAAATCTTTAGTTATATTACTTACATAGGCGCTTTTTAAAATTTCATTAGTTGCATCAAGTCTTGTAGACTTGTATGATATTTTATATATCTACTAAAAATATAAAATTCATAGTAATTTCAGATCAAAATCGTAAAATGGAAATATATTTCAAAGGTTTGTTACACAAAGTCTACTTGAATAACGACAAAATGAATACGGGCCGATTCCGTCAAATCAGTAATTTCATTCTTTAGACGTTTGCAACTGATTAAAATCATTAGAAGTTTCTTATTATTATTGGCTTTTCTTTTGTTTTATGTTAGACATCCTTATTTCACTAATTTTAGTTATGGTTTTTTACAACAAATATTTGATAATAAATCAGGCCAGTAACTAAAGCCAATGATGGTTACTACAATTCAATTTTTGTTTTTTTAGTCATCGTTGCCAAAGTCATTATGAAAGCATCTAAATGTTAAAATTTTGTTTTAAAACTCCGTAGCTTTTGTAATCTTTTAGCTCTTACGTGCACAATACGAATGCAATACACTCATACTGTTATGAAATAATCACTGTTTCAAATAATATAGCTAGTCATCAAAAATTCCAATTTACGAAACTATAATTTGAAGAATTTCGAAAGTATCTTCGTCTTATGGGAAAAGACGACAACAGGACAGGAATATTCATGGAATTAGTGTTTAGTTTATGTTACTACAATTAGAATACATGGGTATGGCTATAAGTGCTGTAGTCACGAATATTATTAAAAAAAATAAGATTAGTAGTATTTTTTTATTAACTATTCACACCACAAACGCTATATCTATTCTCAAATTTGAGAGTCAGTTACATTAAATTTTAAATGTAATATAAGCAGCAAAACAAATATAGCAAAGTTATGTGTGTGGTTACAAAAAACAAGGAAAACAAGTTGATCATTTAAAACAATTAGACAGTACAATTTTCAATATTCATGACATTCATTAAATAAAAATAGCTTAGATATATTAGGCATATTATGGCAAGCATATTGGTTCCATAGCAATTATTAACAAAATTAAAAATTGATTTTATTCTTTGAAATAAAATTATATTTTTTAGAATTCTTACTTCAATATTTACTAGTATTGCCTCGCATTTATGTTTAATTTATTGTAATTATTATAATAATATTAATACCTTTTAGCCTCGTTAACATTTATAGCTAACGGGTAACAATAAGAACTAATCAAGGTCTTTTAAATTATTCTCCAGAATAGAATAGAATACATACAAATTCTTTTGTTCTCAATATTATTCAAATAAATGTGTTTTAAAGAAATATTATTGGAACTTCCATTACTATGTATTCATATAGTTAATCTAGGTCAGACTTGTTGTTTTTATGGATGATAATGGAATGATGCACTCTATTGCGCTAATGGCTTATGCTGGCGGGGCACGAGTGGAGGATGATAAAATGAGCATGAAGTCAGGTCAGTTAGACCATCTAGGCAAATGACAATTTACCACGATGGTTTCCAGGGGGAACCGCGTGGAGGTGTACCTGACATGGTACATTGCTAGCAATATAGTTAATAGTTCACATTACTAACAATCCCCTTCCCCCTTAGACTAGGTATGAGTGATAGTACTTGGGTTGTAGGAGTGGACTGAATGTTATGTATATACACGTACCCTGTAATTTCTAATTCCAGTTGACAGACAAACGTATTACTGTCTATGTTATTAATATTAACGATACAATATTTTTCACTGGCGTAGTTACGGCTGTACCCATAAAACACATTCCATAAAATCCAGAATAAAAATGTACTAGCCTCTAACACCGCAATTTGTATTTATATGTTGCGTGGTGGTTATTATTTTACAAACGACTACAAAAACGATCTCAATTTAATTTTCATATTTTCTTAGACATTATGATACATATATTATACAATAAAGTCCCCAATTATCAACAGATTTGGACGAATCTTTTGAAAAATACTAACTGAAATGTAAATAAAAACAAGGAAAAATACAAATTATATTTCCTTCTTTTGGTATCTGGTGTTTTTGTATTTTTAATTATTTATTACGATAATTTGGTCAATTTGAATGAAAACGTAGTTTGCGCTAGAATCGCGTATGGGATCCTTGCATTATTAGCAGTTATTCCATTAACTATACTGTTACGACCCAATCTTGGTAATAAGTTCTCTTATGATTATTTATTTATTATTTTAGTAACAAACACAATGTCGTAAGATCAGAGTAAACAGCGTCATAAAAAAGGCTATTGCAGAAGTAATGTTCGTAATAACGGTGACAATTTGTCCAGATGAGTTAGACATACTGCAGTTATACAATTTACGTAATGTTTATAACGTATGTGTATCCGTTGGTAACATTGACTGCTATATTTTTAATATTTTGCTAAGTGCTATAAATTTTACGAAAAGTTGCAAGTGTCCACATTTTTTTTTAACTGGCTAAGAGTGTCTAAGTAGACAAACAAGATAGTATATAAGCAGGTTTTGTTGTTCAGATTAAAATCAT